TATATTGCAATTATACATTTTTGTAGTTTAAACTATAAATTGTGCAAAATTATGTTTTTGTCGAAGTGACACACAACGCGAGTTATGCTCGATTTTTTGCTGATTTTTGACACACCATGCCAAAAAGGTTGCCCATCACTGGCCTAAGGAATAATGGATGGAAACGGATCAAGGAGAGATTCAACCTGGAAATGAGGAGAAATTTTGTGACAGAACAATTAATCAGTGGAACAACATGTCTCCAGAAGTTGTGAATTCTCCAACACTGGAAGTTTTTAAGAAGAGATTGGATAACCATTTGTCTGTAAGGTTTCCTGCCTAAGCAGAGGGTTCGACTAGAAGACCTCCAAGGTCCCTTCCAACTCTGTTCTTCTATACGTCAATGTTGTTTTCTGCCCCAGTTGCAGTTGTGAAAATGTGAACAACTCCGGGTTTTCAATTTGATCATCCACTTGGGAAGGATGAAGTAGAATGGATTTGGGTGGTATCCAATGCCTCTTGCAAAAAAAAACTGCAAAAGCTCAAATTTTCATATATAAGAAGATGGTTTTGTCTTGGGAAGGGAAATCTAAATTTTTCTATACCTCTTCTGGCCTTAAAAACCCCCCTATACTAATTATTTTGAAAAACAATAATTTCAGTGTTTGTATTTGGCTATTGCCCAAAGGGTTTTCTGAAATAAATTGGTTTTCATTCAATCCACTGGCTTAGCCGTTCCATGGCCAATAACGGTGTTATATATTCATTTGTTTTCACATTGCTGGCGATTATGTGGCCTTGGGATTCTGCAACCGTTGTAAAGACCAGAATTTCTGTTGCTAAGCAGTGCTGTTATGAAACAAGCCATGCCCAATTTTACAACATTGTTCAACAGAGCACCGCAATGGTTAGGAGAATCATGTCGTTAAGCTAACCCATTGACCAAAAGCTGCTGAGAAGGTTGCAAAGAGCAATTTGCAAATTGCCTTCGGAAATTGTGAGAGCTTCATCACTGGAGGCTTTGAAGAAGAGACTTAACTGCCATCAGTCAGAAATGGTGTAGGGTCTCCTACTTGGGTTTGGACTAGATGACCTACAAGGTTCCTTCCAACTGTTGTTAATCTGTATCTAGATCCCTTGACCCCAGCATGTTGTACCATTGGAAATACATGCCAGTTGCCAGATGCCCAAATTTTGATCCCATGAATGTGGGGAATGCTGCAAGTGTTGTAAGTGTGAGGACCGGTCGTAAGTCACTTTTTCAGCACTGTTGTAACTTGAGCAGTCCCTAAACCAATGGTAAGTCAAGAACTACCTATAATGGGCTGCAAAAGAAAAAGTTGGATGAATATTGGACATTTCATTTGTCCTGAATGGTGTAAGAACTGCGTCGGGTCAGTGGGTTGGACTAGATGACCTCCAGGTTTCCTTCCAGCCCTGAAATTCTATGGTTTATACAGGTAGTTCCTGACTTAATAATAGTTCATTTACTGACCGTTTAAAGTTACAACGGCACTGAAAAAAGGTGACATGACCATTTCCCCCAGCTATGACCATCTCTGCTCAGGGCATCAAAATTCAGGCATTTGGCAGCTGATTCATTTTATGACTGTTGCTGTGTCCCCAGGGTCACAGGATCCCCTTTTGCAACCTCCTGGCAAGCAAAGTCCATGGGGGAAGCCAGGTTCGCTTAACAACTAGGTTGCTAAGTGAACTGCAAGGATTCCCTTAATGTTTTGTTTTCACAAAAACCCTGCGAGGTAAGCTGGGTTGAGGACTAGAGGCAGAGTTGGGTTGTACAGGAAGCTTCCAGGACACCAAATTACCCTGAAATGTAAAATACAGGCACTCCTCCACATAAAACAATTCATTTAGTGACCACTCAAAGTTACAACGGCACTGAAAATGTGACTTATGACCGTCTTTCACACTTAAAACAACGGTTACAACACCCTCAGGATCACGTGATCAAAATTCAGACCTTTGGGAGCTGGCTCATATTTATGACGGTTGCAGAGTCCTGGGGTTGCGCGATCCCCTTTTGCGACCTGAAAAGCAAAGCCAGATTCAATTAACAACCGGGTTGTTAATTATCAATGGCAGTGATTCACTTACCAATGGCGGCAAGAAAGGTCGTAAAATGGGGCAACGTTGACCAACGTGACGCTTGGCAGCAGAAATATGGGGCTCTCTCATGGTCGTAAGTCGAGGACTCGCTGTATTGCAAATACACTGCATGGGGTGGAAAAAACATGGAGATGCCGGGGATTGAACCCGGGGCCTCATACATGCAAAGCATGCGCTCTACCACTGAGCTACATCCCCTTCCCGGTACCGAGAGTTCCAGCGGGAAATACAAAGCAATTCCATTGTTTCTCCTCTTTTTTTTTCTTCTTCCTCCTTCCAAAAATAGTCTCTTTTTTCCCCTTCTTTTGTCGTGCAACTTTCTTCCCTGCAGGCAGAAGCGCCTCCTCCTCAGTCGGCTCTTAAGCCTTGAGGCTGCCACCCACCTAAGGAACGGGGGAGGCCTTTCTCCTGCACCCCCTTCCTCCACTTTGGGGGGTCTCTGGGGAAGAAGAAGAAGAAGGCTACTCAGGTACAGCTGCAACTTTTGGGGGGGATCCAGGACTTGGGGCTACTTCGGGGGGGGGGGTTAGCTTCCTCTTTGGGGCAGCGGCCCGTTTGGAGAGCAGGAAAGCAAAAGGAAGCTGAGCTTTACTTTAGGATTTGGTTTTATGGAAAAGAAAGGACAGGGGGAAGGAAGGGAGGGGAAGGAAGGAAGGAACGGAGGAGGGAAGGAAAGAAAGAAAGAAGGAAAGAAAGAAAGAAAAAGAAAGAGTGAGAAAGAGATCGGAAGAGAGAGGGAGGGAGGAAGAAGTTAGAGAGAAAGGGAAGGAAGGGAGGGAGGGAGGGAAGGAAGGGAGAAGAAAGGGATGGGGCAAGGAAAAAATGGAGGGAGGGAGGGACAGAGGGAAACAAAAAGAAAGAAAAAAGAAAGAAAGAAGGACAGACAGACGGACGGACCTTGGGATCAGCACGTGCCCCACTTAACTAGCCTCTTTCGAAAAGTAGCGCCCGAGCTCTTCCTCGTTAGTATAGTGGTAAGTATCCCCGCCTGTCACGCGGGAGACCGGGGTTCGATTCCCCGACGGGGAGGCTCAAAGTTTTCTTTTCAGTAACATCAATTGGAAAAAATTTAAAAAACCCAACCAAGAAAACACATGCTTTCTTTTCCTTTCATTCCAGCCCAGGAAAACATTTTTTATGACTCCTTGATTGGATTCTCTGACTTTTGCATCTTAGGCTAGTTCCTTCTTTTCATCCTCCCTCTCTCTCCCCCCCCCTTCTCTCTCCTTCCTTCTTTCCTTCATTCATTCGTTCGATACACCTCTCCATCTCAGGCAGGTGACACGAGGCAGCTTACAATAAAATAGACATAACGCAACGGATTAAAACAAGAACTACACCCTAACCTGCAACCCTACCCCAGAGACTGACAGGGGGAAAGAGCTACAGGATTTCTGCCCCCCAGCTGACCAAAATTGGAGGGACGCTAATCTAACCCCCCTCCCCACTGCTAAAGGCATAGGGCTTCAGGGTGGGGCAGGAGGGCGAATGCAGGGAAGCCTCTACTGAAGAAAAGTCGGGAGCAGTTAATTCATTGGGCTGGTTGCAATTTACAAAATAAAAAGTGGGGGTGGAGAGGGAAAAGGTCGGCCGCCGAGCCTTGAAAGGGAGGACGAAGAGGCAGGATGACATCAGCCGAAATAGCTCAGTTGGGAGAGCGTTAGACTGAAGATCTAAAGGTCCCTGGTTCGATCCCGGGTTTCGGCAGATGCTTTTTGTTTAAAAGGTGGGGTGGAGCGAGGCTGTTTGTGTTGTATTGCAAAACGCTTCTTTTTGTGCGGCCCCCTGAAAAGAAGACGGAAAAAGGGGTGTAGCCCTTTGTGTGTGTATGTTTTTGTGTGTTGCAAAGCATGCAAAGTTTCAGGAGCTGAAAGTCTGTAGAGATTCTCAGTGCTCCAGGTCACGGTTGTCCCAAAGGGGCTTTTTCAGGAAGCAACTGAAGACATTCCGCTTCTCATCCAAGAAGCTTCCTCCCAACTTCTACAGCTAAAAGTCTGTAGAGATTCTCAGTGCTCCAAGTCATGGTTCACCCAAAGGTCCTTATTTTTTCAGGAGGCAACTGGACTTCTTATTCTTTTTCTTTTGAAGAGGTTTCGCTTCTCCTCCAAGAAGCTTCTTCAGTTCTGAGTGGATGGTAGGGAAGGGAAGGATTGATACTCCTTGCAATTTGCATCCTTTTAGAGGGTCTTTGAGGCTACTTAGACTTAGAGGTTTAGCACTAATAGGAATGGATTTCCAGAGAGAGAGAAATTGCAGACTACAGGAACCATTTGCACCACTCAGGTGACCCTGAGGACACAGATAAACCTCCAAGTGCTTCAAAAGGATGCAAATGACCAGCTGCCTGCAAGGAATATAAACCCTTCCATTCCCCACCATCCAAGTGAGAGTTGAAAAAGCTCCTTGGATGAGAAGCTAACCGTCTTCAAAAGAAAAAAAAACAGAAAGTCCAGTTGCCTCTTGGGGGGGGGAAACTTTTAGGGTTTACAATGGGCTGCTGTTGCTGATCTCTTTTCTCTTGTAGCAAAACAAAATTTCTTGCCTAGGAAACGTGTGAAAGATGTGATTCAGACGTTGACTCTGTACACTCTCCAAGAAGGGTGACTGGAAACGCCTGGCAGGGCTCCTCCTCGTTAGTATAGTGGTAAGTATCCCCGCCTGTCACGCGGGAGACCGGGGTTCGATTCCCCGACGGGGAGGCCCAATATTTTTTAAAAATTATTATTTTATTTTATTTTTGAAAAGCAAAGGCCTTTTTCTTTTACAAAAAATCCTGGGAGGCGAGTTGGGAAACGTCGCAGATTTTATTTTGATTTGCATTAATGCAGCAGAACCCTCCAAGGAAGATTTAAGCAGAAAAATTGCAATGGGGGCAACTCCCTTTTGCAGACTCGGTTGATGGGAAAACTTTGGCCTTTGCTGGAGAAAAGAAGTTGGGCAGGTTCTAATTTTGCCCAAATTTGGGCTCTAGTTGCTCCTCTAGTGGCAAGCTGGCTGGAGGAATTCTGGGAGTTGAAGTCCACCCCTTTTAAGCAATTGGCCAAGGTTGAGAAAATACTATTATATGGAGAAATCTTGCAATTAGCTTTAACTCTTTTATTTCCCTTTCTTCTTTTCCTATCCGTCCATTCCGTCTTAGCCAAAAAATCCACTCCATGTTTTCCTTCCAACCGGTTTTTTTTTCTCTCTGTCTCTTCCATTTAACCGTTTGGTTTCTATTTTCACACCAATTCGAACCTTTTTATCCTTCCCCCGTTCCATTCCACAGAAGGCGGGGAGGACTCCCTGCGCTGCCCCTTCTGACTTCCCGCGTTCCTATTGGCTAACGGGATGCTCGTGAGCTTCAATGAAAAATAATCCCTCGGTTTCCGTTGGCGGAGCGATCCACGTGCGATGCCTATATAAAAGGCCGCCGCAGTTGGTACGCAGTTAGAACAAGTCGCCTCTTGCTTGTGTGAATTTGTTGCTGTCTGCTAGGGCCCACTCGAGCTCCGCCGTAAGCCTTTATTGTTACATTTAAGTCTTATAGTGGTATTTCTTTCTTACATTTTCTATTAAATTCGGTCTGAGGGAGGGTTAATTTTCATTGAATGAGCCTTATTTGGAAAGTGGGAGGGAGTCTCTTTTCTGGGAGAGGGGGGACCGAAACCTTTTAGGAGGGAAGCGCGGATTTTCACAGGCTTTGGTTGTGAGGGGGGGGATGCTATTTTTAATTAAAGCCGAGGGGAGAGAAAGGCCCTAATGGCTTATTCAGCCGCCACCCAAAATGGCCGCCCCGGTAGCTGGATGGGGAAGAGAGAATCAGCGAGTCTCCGCCCACTCGCTTGTGACGTCTTCATTCTGACGTACCACGCCCGTAACCGCCCCCATCCAAAGTCATCCAGTGCGCACGCGCGCATTCTCGCGCTGCTCCTTTGAGTTGGTTCCGGAAGAGACGTAGGTGGGGGAAGGAGGGCGGGGCGGCGACTGCAGCCCCTCTCCCTACGGACCTTACCAGATTTTGTGGGGTTGGTAGGGGATGGAAGCCAATGAATTTCGGGAAGACGTAAAAGCAGGCTGGGAGGGGGAGTTGCGAAGGTCATCTAGTCGTGGCCTCCGCGTGATGCTGAAAAAAACCATTCTTAGAATGTGGGGAGGTTACTTTTCAGGACCTCCCACAAAGAACACGTAGCCGCCACAGACAGGTAACATTCCTGCTGGGTAAATGCATTGGTTTAACGGGGTTAGGGTGTGCGTGTGTGTGTGTGTGTTCCAACTCCAGCAGTAGGAATTGGGATTGTACAATAAGGAAAGAAGCAATAGAGGTCCTGTCGTGGGGTTTTCCTTGTGTTTAAATCAAGGATCCTCCAGATTTGGCCCCTTTTAAGATTTGTGGGATTCAATTCCCAGAATTCCCCAGCCAGCCAGAAACTTACAAGTTGGCAGGTTTGGAGACGTCTGGTGTAAGTCAAATCTAAGCAGTTGCACCTTTGACATTGAAAAAAAGAGCTCTTTAAACACAGTTAAGATAGTTGCTAACTGGATTGATGTGGTTTCCTGTCCCTGTTTCCCTCTTCTGTTGCAGAGAAAATGCAGATCTTTGTGAAGACCTTGACCGGGAAAACCATCACCCTAGAGGTGGAGCCCAGTGACACCATTGAGAATGTCAAGGCCAAAATCCAGGATAAAGAAGGCATTCCTCCTGACCAACAGAGATTGATCTTTGCTGGCAAGCAGCTGGAAGACGGCCGCACTCTCTCTGACTACAACATCCAGAAGGAGTCCACCCTCCATCTTGTCCTGCGTCTGAGGGGTGGCATGCAGATCTTTGTGAAGACCTTGACCGGGAAAACCATCACCCTAGAGGTGGAGCCCAGTGACACCATTGAAAATGTCAAGGCCAAAATCCAGGATAAAGAAGGCATTCCTCCTGACCAACAGAGATTGATCTTTGCTGGCAAGCAGCTGGAAGACGGCCGCACTCTCTCTGACTACAACATCCAGAAGGAGTCCACCCTCCATCTTGTCCTGCGTCTGAGGGGTGGTTTTTAAACTTTCTGCTTGCTTACAACTGTTGAAGTAAACTTCACTGCACTTTGTTTCAATAAAGCTGTTGGGATTCCCAATTGTCTTGGTGAATTATTTGAATTGTTATGTACAAAGTATAA